ATATTTTGTTAGTAAATTAATATCTAAAACCTAAATTTTTTATTAAAATAAAAAAGAAAAATTTACCTAGAATAACCTACTTTTTAAAAAAATAGGTAGAATAACCTTACCATTTTTTTATTGCTGAAATAACCTATACTGAATTTTTTTTCTTTCATAATACCAAAATTGTCTTTGGTAGACTCTGCCGAGGTATTGGCAGAGTCTGCGTATTTCTAGATATTGGCAGAGTCTGCCAATACATCGGTAGAGTCTACCAATGTTTCCGCATAGTCTGTCAATGATTCGGCAGAGTCTGCCAATACCTCGACAGAATCTGCCAATGTTTCGGCAGAGTCTGCCAATGTTCGGCAGAATATGCTAATGTTTTGGCAGAGTCTGCGTATTTTTAGATATTGACAGAGTCTGCCAATATATCTGTAGAGTCTGCCAATGTTTTGGCAGAGTCTGTCAATACCTCGACAGAGTATGCGAAAGACAATTTTGGTATTATGAAAGAAAAAAATCTAGAATAGGTTATTTCAGCAATAAAAAAATAATAAGGTTATTCTAACTATTTTTAAAAAAAAGTAGATTATTCTAGCAAATCTCCCAATAAAAAATTAAGATTGACTTATTTTACACAGTCGACTTATATTTTTGTTCGTTGATTTTTCACTTTGTTGATTTATTTATACAGTTGATTTATTTTTTTATGTTTGTGGACTTAATATTCAGCTTCGTCGACTTATTTTAAACTGTTGACTTATATTGTTTGATTGATTTTTTACTTTGTCGACTTGTTTAACTATTGACTTATTTTTTTATTTTTGTCGACTTAATATTCAGCTTTATCGACTTATTTTAAAATTGATTTTTTACTTTGTCGACTTATTTAACCATTGACTTAATTTTCAGTTTTGTTGACTTAATTTTCAGGTTCGTCGACTTATTTTAAACTGTTGACTTATATTTCATTTGATTGACATTTTAAATTATCGACTTATTTAAACCACTGACTTATTTTTTGTAATTCGTTGACTTAAATTTTTTTTTCATCGATTTATTTTAAACCATCGATTTATATTTTGATTGATTGACTTTTTACTTTGTCGACTTATTTAAACCATTGACTTAATTTTTATGTTTATCGACTTGTTATACTATTATATAAATT